AAAAATAAAACCAAAAGTTATCTGCGTTTCAAAGATACTGATGTGAAGTACCATGCCCAGACCGGAGTACTAGGTGAACTTAAATTTAGTGTCCATAAGCCAACGACAGATCCTTTCCCGGACCTTCTGGATCCATTGTCGGAGTTGCATATGTCCACCATTAGTGAATGTCACGAAAGTTTGGATACTGGCAAGTCCAATCGCTCTATCAGTCATCTTTCCTTTTTCTGTCTTCTGCCGCATCATTCCCAAAGCATGGAGTACATCCCAAGGGCTATGATTTGTGAGAGAATTGATAAAGAGAAATATGATGGGGAAGCGCACTGGTCAGTCGAGGAGAGATTTCTTTTCTTCCAAAATTTTGGGAGTGGTCTTTGTGGGTCTAGAAACTTCTGCTCAAGAGGAATCTCCACGATTCAGCTTTTGTAGTCGGTTCTAATGCAAAAGATTACCATCGCCCAAACTCCATTTACAGAGCTCTTCGTGAGGTTTGGTGTCCAGAAACCAACACCTTTGTGACTGCCAATGGTGAAATTGGCATTTCTCTTTCGGACATCCACGAGATAAGTGGACTTTCGATCATGGATCATTATTATAAGGAAGTACTCCCAAGCCTTTCAGAGTTGACGGATCATCTTCCCAAGTCTTGTTTGTATCTCTTTAATGTTTTTGCATTGACTGCCCATGCGAATGAATCTGACAGAGTTACTCACGAACATTGGATTAATTTTTGGTTTCATGAGAATGGTTGTGTCCCGACAACACAAAAATTATAAGAATACTATGAATTTAAATCCATTCAAGAGGCACCATCAAAGAACATCGAAGGAAATACGAAGGCCTGTGGTGGCAAACAAGCCGAGAGACATTACTCGTGGGGATCGACGTCATTGGAGCAATTTTCCAGTATCTCTGTTTAGGGAAGAAGAAGAGGAATTAGAGATAACAGCCTACCTCTCCCTATGGCTTTGTCGCTTCGTTCTTCCATCTGGGGACGAAAGTATAAGAGTCGGGACTTTTAAAACATTTTCTAGGTTGGTAGGCAGATACACTTATAGTCTGGTTCCACCCATATTGGCGAGCATTTATAATGGACCTACACGAACATCTAATTATCAGGCAAATCCAGACCTTGGCTCAATTTCACATTCATTTCCTGGACATTTTCTTTATGCTTGGACAGCAACTTATTTTGTCCGAGGTGTTTATGCTCATATAGACAAGAGTTATTCTCGCCCTATAATTCAAAGATATGCCGGAACTCTGAAAACTTTTCAATCTTGGGAGAAAAACGTTGTTGATTGTCGGGAATTTATCCGTGGAGCGACGAACACCGATAACTTTTGTTGGAATCCATTGCCCTCATCGTCCCATCCTGATGTACGTGTGGATGACCAACCGAGGTCTGCAAATACTTCAGAATTCATGATGAGTATTTGTAACGCCCCAACCCGTAAGGTCCGGAACGTCGTTAGATTAATTGTACTTTTAGTCGTAAACTTAAAAAAATAGCTAAACCTTTAGAGGAAATTATAAAGATTTAATTCAAGAATATATATTTTTTAAAAGGACAATAAATGACAACATAACTCAATACAAAAGAAACTAATTCCTAACATTTTCAAGTGACATCCATGCATAAATACATTCTTGTTGCGTGAAATTCTAGACAAGAATTTAAAAATAAATGTCGTTGTTTGACTTCCCATTTTTGCGTAGTAAGTTTTGAAGTAAACTCGTTTACATAATAATCTAGGTCAAAACTTCACGAAACTTTAAAAGAAAGTAGGGAACTTCTTATAATA